AGAGTGAACAAATCTGTCTTGGAAGAAATACAACCAGAATGCTCCTTGGAAAGAAGGAAGGATGGCGAGACCACGACTTACATACTTTGGACCTGTTGTCAGGAGGAATCAGTACCTGGAGAAGGACATCACGCTTGGTAAAGTAGAGGGTAAGCAAAAAAGAGGAAGACCCTCAATGAGATGGATTGACACAGTAGCTACAACAGTGGGCTCAAGCATAACAACGATTGTGGGCATGGCGCAGGGCCGGGCAGTCGGGCAGTATTTCTTTCTGTTGTACACAAGGTTGCTATGAGTCAGAACTGACTTGACGTCACCTAACAACAACAACCTTTTGGTTAGCAGCTGAGCTCTTAACCACTGCACCACCAGGGCTCCTTATCTGTGATAGCAGAAGCAAAAACCAAAATTCAAAATTTTAAGAGACTGTTTATTCAACCCGACATTTCCTGCATGAGTCCTAATATGCTCAACTTTTTATTAGCTATAATAAATTACATTAAGTACTCTAACATGTTGATTTTTTTTTAATAGTGAGAAATGCTTTGGTTATCTTTAAAATACAAATTAAAGTTTCTGACACATATTACCATATGTCAAATGTGCCCAATCATAGTCAAAGGTAGAATTAAAGCAAGTATCTGGGTCATTTGTTTTGAGAAGTTTTCTGCATTTTCCAAGAATAGTCATTTTACAGTGGGTTTCCTGAAAAGCTACAATCTTGCAGAATATTTTGCTTTTTTGATCCATATGAAAAAATATTTGCCAAGAAATAGTTGTGGAAAATTTTTAGGCAAGTGTATTATTTGAGCACATAATTGCAAAGCTGGAAGGAACCCTGAGAGATCATTTTAGTCTATATATTGCCATAAGTTAAAAGGAAGTCCTCCCCCCCTTTTTTTTCTATTCATTCTTAAAATCTCTAGGCAACTGACAGTCATCAAGTAGTCCAGGAATGTTCTAGAGGGTATAATAGTCCATATGGCCTCAGCTGCTGCCCTGAAAAAGATCTGATATTTCTTTCCTCTCTCCCTCCCACCTTCCCTTCCTGCCTTTTTTCTTTTTTCTCCTTTTCCTTCCTTCTTTCTTTCTTTTTTTTTTTTCCTTCTTCATTCCTTCCTTCACTTTCTCTCTGGAAAACTTACACAGATAAAAGTATCATGGAAAATTAAGCATCCAAATGTGCAGTACACATTTAGTGTAAACCACGCATAAAATGAGAAATTAAGAAAGAACTAGAGAATGATCTCAAACTCTTTTCTTTTTGGTCTCAGAACCCTTTTAAACTCTTAAAAAATATTGAGGATCCTAAAAAGCATTTGTTTATGTGGGTTATACCTATCAACCTTTGCCATCTTATAAATTAAAGTACAACAAAATATTTAAAGTTTGAGAGTTCATAGCACACATTCCAGTCACTGTCAGCACCAAGATGTCACCACACATCTTGTGGCCTCTGGAAAGCTCCACTGTGCACTCGTCACAGGATGAGGGTGAAAAGGGCTGGGCTACAGGGTGGCACACTCCAGCTCTCACGGAGGCCTCATGAAGGAGCTAGGCTTTGGGAAGGCTCTAAGAATATGGTGCCCTGGTGGTGCAGTGGTTAAGAGCTTGGCTGCTAACCAAAGCTTGACAGTTCACATTCACCAGCTGTTCCTTGGAAACCCTATAGGGCAGTTATACTCTGGCCTATAGGGTCACTGAGTTGGAATTTTGTTTGTTTTTGGTAGGAATATAGGCAGGTTGGAAACAGGGAAAGGAATAGAGGTGCACTCCATTTAGGTGGAAAGCATAGTACACACAAGCATGGTGTAAATAGAGAGCACAGTATGGTGCTGGAGGAGCACGTCTTCTGGAAAACACCGTTTGTGTTCAATTTAGGTTCATGCCAGCTTTCAGCCTCCATTTTCGGCCAAAATCTTCAGTCATCTTTCACTTTCCCCTTATATTTAGCAACCAAATAGTAAAATACCTAATTCAGTGTCATTTCTGGCATGTCTGAACTGGTGTGTGATCAATGACATCACCATATCTGAACAATGTAACCATGGTAGCAATAGAGAGTAAGGTATGTCATTCATATTTGTTGTTCATACCTAAATATGCACTTTCAAATATAAGCAGGAATTCTAGAGGTAACGTTTAATAAAGCTTTTATTGATCAATTGAAGTATAATTAAATACTACTATAATTAATGATTTTGAAAATTCTTAATTTTATATATAAATCAGATATCAAGACTTTCAAGCAGTTGAATAGGGACATAGAATGTTGGTTAATACAGATACTAAGAGAGGGTGCATTGGTTAATTTTAGGAAGAGCCTTATATACTTTTTGAACCAAAATATTTATAAAATTTTAAATAATAATACAAAGCAATATAGAGACAGGTTACAACATAAGTCATGAAGGCCTTTGTACATTTTGTTTGCTATAATAACATTGATAACAGTAAGCAACAAATTTTTTTAAAGATTAATTTTTAGCAAGTTAATTCTATTTAGGACATGACCTTTTCAAGAAAAGAAAATCTTATTTGAGAATAGTCTTAGTTATCTAGTGCTGCTATACAAATATCACAAGTCGCTGGCTTTAACAAACAGAAATTTATTCTCTCACAAAAGTCTGAAATCAGGGTGCTGGCTCTAGAGGAAGGCTTTCTCTCTCTTTTGGTTCTGGGAGAAGGTCCTCACCCATCTTTCCCTGGGTCTAGGAGGTTCTCAGTGCAGGGACCCTGAGTCTAAAGGATGAGCTCCTCTCCCGACTCTTCTTTCTTGGTGGTAGTAGGTCCCTCTCTCTCTCATCCTTCTCTCTCCTTTTATCTCTTGTAAGATGAAAGGTGATGCAGGCCACACCCCCGGGAAACTCCCCTTACATCAGGTCAGGGCTGTGACCTGAGTAAGGGTGTTGCATCCCACCCTAATCCTCATTAACATAACCTAATCTTGCCTGATTAACCACAGGTACAGATTAGGATTTACAACATATAGGACAATTACCTCAAATCAGAAAATGGAGGACAACCACGCAATACTGGGAATCATGACCTAGCCAAGTTGACACATATTTTTAGGGGGCACCATTCAATCCTTGACAGAAATTCTTCAGATCTTGTGAGACAAATTAAAAGTAGAATGTCAGCTCTATCACCTCAACATTTTACAAGGAGGAAACATAATGTCATCCATGATAAATTATCTTCAACACAGACATAATAAAGAAGAAAAGGAGTGTTAGAGAAAAATGAGCTATCCAAAAAGCTCTTGCTCGCCTCTTACCTCAGTGGAAAGTGAGCATCTGTTTGGAATTCCAAGTTTACAGACTAATCACAGCAGCCAGCGGTGCTAAAACTTATTAAGCCTGCTCTACAAAATGTCTAATTTTAAAAATCATATTACTAAAAATTGAAATAATTTAAACAGGCTCAGCAAATTTAGACCTCAGCTTCAGCTTCTGCTGAATGTTGATTTTTATCATTCGTCATTCAGCCAAAATATATATTCCATGCACCCTTGCTCAAATTATAAATGCCACTTAGTGTGTGCCTTGGGTAAACTATGTAACCTCTCAGTGTCCTAATATATGGCCTGAAGTACCTGCACACTAATGTTAGCCTTTACTGTGTACAGAGAGGAAGGAGGAGATGGACCTGACCCCAGTGGCCCAAGAGCAGAATCCCAGTAGCCAAAAGAGGAAGTGGGTTACTTGTCCCAGGGGCAGAGGTGTATCTAGGGTATGGTAGGTACAGCAGATATGGCACCGGCTGTAGGCGCCTGGCTCTACTGAGCAGTTTGGTATGGCCAACAGCATATCTATAAAAAATGGCACCTATGGCAAGCATTGAAAAACAATTGCATCCTTGTCCAAACACCTGACACCCATCTTTTAGATAACGTTACCATATATCAGCTCAAAAATACAAGTCAAGTTCATTAATCTTTTAATTAACACGTTGCCATGCCTGATGAAGGACGTTGGGCCATACCAGGTTAATAGAGACTGCTCAGTTGCACCACGTACCCAGGGCCAGTGCCATACCATTGACGGACCATTGCCCTGGGGTGAGTGAGCAGCCTTTTTAGATTACTGACTGAGCAAATTACATGCCGGTGCTTCACAAAGATTACTCTAGCTGTGGTATATAAGGAAATGTTGGATGGAAATAGACAGTAGGCAGGCAGGCCAATGAGAGAACAGCAATTCAGATCCCCAGAATGAATAATCCTTGCATTCACAAAAACCTTTCTATCTAACCAAAATTCCTCATACTGTATTTAAGTACATTTTCTGTTGACAAAGCAAATTCCTTTGTATCTTCATTACTCTTATTATTTCTTAGATCACATCCCTTAAGTTTACTTGAAAACTTTCCTCAAGGCCTTTATTTCTATAGAAAATACATCATCAGACAATCAAAACATTTCATTAATCTACTTAACCAAGCATTTTCTTGCACCTTCTGTATGTCTGTAAGCATTTTGTGCTTTCCATGAAAATTATTGATCTTATCATAAGTATGACAAATACTTTTGGATGATGATAACCTTTTTTCAGACTATAAAATGATTAACTTTATTTTTTTAATTGTACTTTAGATGAAGATTTACAGAACAAATTAGCTTCTCATCAGTTAGCACACATATTGTTTTATGACATTGGTTACCAACCCCACGACATGTCAACACTCTCCCTTCTCTACCTTGGGATTCCTATTACCAGCTTTCCTGTCCCCTCCTGCCATCTAGTCCTTGCCCCTGGGCTGGTGTGCCCCTTTAGTTTCGTTTTGTTTTATGGGCCTGTCTAATCTTTGGCTGAAGGGTGAACCTCAGAAGTGACTTCATTACTGAGCTAAAAGAGTGTCCGGGGGCCATACTCTTGGGGTTTCTCCAGTCTCTTGTCAGGCCAGTAAATCTGGTCTTTTTTTGTGTGTTAGATAAAACGATTAACAAGTTTTACAGATGCTTGTCTGAAGTAACAATTTTTTATATATACATCTAGATGATTCTTGAAAGACGTGCATATAGATTACAAAACATCATCAAGAAACGAAGCAGATCAAGCCAACATGATGATGTGAACGCCTCCCCTTTGCACCACGCTGCAGCGGAAGGTCAAGTAGAGCTGATGGAGACGATCATGAATGACTCCTGCTGTGACGGTATCAGAATGTTGCGATGAGTGCCCCATAAATCCATCATCCCATTAGATTTATTGGGAAGCATGGTATGAGGTGATTCTGAAGGGTGTATCAGTGCCAGATTATAAAGGGCCTGAATATCTCACTTGGGAGTCTGAGTTTCCTTATGGGCCAGTGGTCCTTAAATATTTCCACTGAAATACTACAGAGAAGAGTGCAGATGCATCCCTAGGGATCCAGGACACCCTGCATATAACTTGTACGTACTGTTCTATAATATTTCTGTTGACATCATTCTACATTTTAAATTACTTATTGGGTAAAATTGATACTCCGAGAAGATGTAACACTCCTCCCCTCCCGCTCAATATACCTAACCTTGTTAGAGAAACTCAGTCATCGGCAATGGGGGAGGTGGGTGCTCCAAGTTTTCGAGCAGTGAGGTGGTGTGATATTATATAATTCTATCAATATTGTGTAAGATGGATTAGAAGCGGTAGACCAATTAAAATGCTATAAAGGAATTTTTGTAGTAAGAGAAGATGAGAGTCCACCAGGTTTTTGACGTTGGAATAAGGAGAAAGAGAGTGATTCAAGAGATAGTTTGCCTGTAGAGTCAATAGTCCTTGATAACAGATTGTGAGGAGAAAGTGGCAGAGATTTGAAACTGACTCTGAGGTTCCTAACTTAGGAAATTAAGCTAATAATATAACCGTCCTGAAAAGAGGGCACATAAAAACAAAAGAAAAGTGAATGTGAGGATATAAGGAGATAATGAATTTGATTTGGTCATACGAAGTTTGAGAGACCCAGGGGACAGTATCCAGTAGACAAATAGAAATATAAAAGGAAAGGCACTCGCCCTTCAGAGCCACTGTTACAGAAGTAGATGAAGCCACGGGAATGCATGGAAACCCTTTACGAGAGCATAAAATTGCTAACGAAGTAGAGCACCAACATTAAAGGACACATGCAGAGGAAGAGCCAGCAGAGGGATGGCGAAGAAGCCATCAAAGAAGAGGGTGATAGATAAAAGGCTGAGGATACAGACGTCAAGGGAAAAGTTATTGGGATGACTTAGAAAGGTCAATTGCCACAAAGAGATGAAGTAGGATGAGGATCACCATACTCAAAAATCCCGTTGCTTTCACATTGATTTCGACTCATAGTGACTTTATAGGACCGAGTAGAACTGCCGCATAGGGTTTCCAAAGTTGTAATCTTCACAGAAGCAGACTGCTGCATCTTTCTCCTATGGAGCTTTTGGTGAGTTTGAACAGCCAGCCAAGTGCTTAACCATTGCACCACGAGAGCTCCTGAAGATCACTGTAAAGTCCTTAAACTAAAAATCCTCAATGACCTTTGCAAAAATGATTCCTGAAGAGTGGTAAAGATAAAAACCAAATTCAAGTTGTTTCATTAATGAAGAAGCCCTTATTTAATTAAGTTTGGTGTGGAATGGAAAGTTGAATGGAGTGCTTTGTCATGATCAGAGAGAATGGTCAAGGAATGTGTGTGTGTGTATTGTTGAAAATGAGAGACTTGGATGAACGAAAGGAGATAGTAGAGAAATAATAACAGGAGAGAGAAATGGGAAACATCCCAGACACCCTAGATGGTCCCCATTTTATATTTGAGTATATAATCTTTCCCCTTCTCCAGACACACAACTGTATCAACACTCATTACTAAAGTTGATGAACCAGAAAGTCATGTGTATTTTAGAATAGATATGAGACACCACAGGATGAAAATGCACGTTCTTCATGCTGAGCTTGCAGGGTCAATAGTGCAATATATTGTGTTGAAGAAGGATGTGGGAACCCTTATGTGTGATATGAGGGGGCTCCAGCTCAAATGCTAACCTTGTGCTTTATTAGCTGTGTGTCTTTTTTTCCTTAACATTTTCTGAGCCATTGCTACGGGCCAGCCACTCTGCTAAGGTCTTTAAAGGCATTCTTTAATATTAATTTTCTAAGAACCTTGCAAGGTTATGAGAAATATGAGAAAAGTGAAGATCAAAGAGGTGCAGTAACTTGCACAAGTCCTTACTAGCTGTGTGAACTTGGCAAGATTTTTAACCTCTCTGAACCTCAACATTTTCAACTGAAAAACAGTCATGGTAGATTGCAGGGCTCTTGGGAGGGCTGAATAATTGTTGTATGGAATTTACTGAAGTGTCTAGCATGTAGTTGTTGCTTGTATATAATCTCAAAACCTTACAACAAACCCTAAATTCATATTGGAGATAAAAACCTGTCTCAATAGGAGGGTCTATTCTTACAATGTTATAAGTAGGCAGTTAGCTCTGTCTTTTTGACAAGATCAGTGACATATGTTTATGCACCCCCTACAGGTGCCCAGTACCGTATTTTACCCAAATAATGCCCGTTATACGTTTTTGCATATATTGCATGACCCCCATGCATTACTTTCATAAGTGCACAATACCAATTTTTTTCTTACATGTTGCTAACTTCAATGTTTTTTTTTCCTGCCCAACAAATTTAATGTTAGGTCTTTGTCTTGGTGTCTGTTGATGCGGAGGTTTGGTTCCCATCAGCATACCCTCGCCAGCCTACCCTTGAGTTTCTAAAGCAGCCTCTCTCCCGGCAGAATTCCTTCCCTGCTCTGCAAACCGCTTTCTCCAATGCAGGATGAAATCACTTTTTCCAGCCCCGGAAACAACACTCGCCAGGCCCCAGCCCAAGAGATCCGTGGGTCTGCCCACTCAGGGCGGGGGAGGCCACTCAGGCAGGCGAGGCCGGCACGCCGAAGAGGCGCGCATTCCGCCCTGCCATCCGACTGTTCGAATCTCCTGCCCGCGCTGACGCCACTAGGCAGGTGTGAGAGCCAGTCACAGAGGTGCCGCGCATCTGTCGCTCAAACGGTCCGGCTGGCCACTTGGGGCCCCGCGGGGCCAGGACGGTAGTGCTGTCACCCGTATCGTCCTGCCGCCCAGCTTCACGCCATTAGCATCACTCAGGGAGGGTGGCAGCCCCGCGTCCAGCCCTCTGCCCGACCTCCTTCCGTCTTCGGCGCAACATACCTGGGCGCAGCATGGCTACAATTACCCCACGCTCTCAGGCCCAGCATCGAACTGCCCCAGAGCAAACGCAGAGTTTCAGTTGTTTTATTTTCCAATTACAGGGTAATACCGAACGAAATTGATCCACGACTTCTTAACCATGGCTTATACCTTTATTGTACAAATATGATCAAAAGTAACATTTTCAGATTATCAATAGACGGTGAATGAGGCTGAAATTCACTTCTGGAAATGTCGGGAAACATGCGAAGCATATGCATGCGCATGCTATGACAGAACTTTTTTTTTTTTTACATAATTTTGTCATTATATGCGTGCTTGCACGTTATTTACGTAGGCACGCTATTTGTGAAAACATATGGTGTGTGTTTCTTGAGAACCAAAGCTATATTTTTCTTTTGAATAGAGAAGATGTAGCCTATTATAACAGCACTTGGCTCAGAATTTTTGAAGAAGATAGTAGGTGTTGACTACAGTCAAAGCCAAATCTAATCCAGATTTTGGTGTCTTTTTCTAGTGCTAAATGTGATGGATAATTATGGAAATACCCCTCTGCACTGGGCTGCAGAAAAAAACCAGGTCGAAAGCGTTACATTTCTTCTCGGCAGAGGGGCAAACCCTAACCTCAGAAACAACAGCGTGATGGCACCGCTCCACATGGCCGTGCAATGTTGTCACAACGAGGTGGTGAAGGTGAGGCTGCCCGGGCTCACACGTGGCCGGCCGTGCGCTGTGACCAAATCGGGTTTCCTCTGCGGGGGAAGAAAGGCCAAGCAAAGCTGCCAGGGCAAACGGGGTGTAGTGATCACACGTTTTGATGATGATAGTGATGGAGAGGGTGATGATGAAAATCACCACAGTAATATCTCCAGCCTCTTCTAAGAGCTGATTCTGTTTTAGTTTATTTAATCTTTATTTAAAAAAACTCTGAACTACAACTATGATTACCCCTATGTCATAACAGAGGAAACTGAGGCACAGAGAGAATTACATAACTTGCCCGCCATCACAGAAACGGTGAAAACAGAGTTGGTAGTTTCGTTTTCATCTTTGTTTCTAAGTTAAGGCTTTCCCACTTTTACCCGAATGATCTAATGATTAAAAGGAAGGATAATGAGTGACTTGGGGAAAAGGGAAAACGTAATTGTGATTTGCTGTTTTGGTTGAAGAATAGATGGCTTGCCATACTACTGGTAAATTTCTTATTTTTTTTCCAAAGCTTGAGAGTGATTTTGGTCAAATAGAGGAACCCACAAAAACAAAACACAAAGAGCCAAGCCAGTTGATGCTGAGTAGACTCTGACTTCTGGTGACCCGAGGGGTGTCAGGGTAGAACTGTGCTCCACAGAGTTTGCAATGGCTGATTTTCTGGAAGCAGATCCAGGTCTTTCTTCCAAGGCACCTCTGAGTTCACTCAAACCTTCCAAGGCACCTCTAGGTGGACTCAAACCTTTCAGTTGGCAGCTGAGCACTTAGCCATCTGCACCCCCCAGGGAGGAGACCCTAGTAAATGCCTAAAGGGTAAGATTTAGGCCGTGGCTTTTAAACTACATCTCAGGGTCTCACAATGGGTTTCCACACACTAGAAAACACACAGGCATACTTAAATGGAATGCAATTTACCAGGGGATTATGTACCAGGAGTTCATTTCTAAGATAGGCCATCTGGGACTTACAGTAAGTTTTCCAGTAGAAACAATATTGTGAATGATGATGTGGCTATTGTGGTATGCCAAGACAAAACTTACTTTGTCTATGAGTCAGCAAATAGGTCCCAGAAGTATCCACGAGTTTCTCACTCTCTTTAGCCCAACCATCGTTCTCCCAGACGACTGAGTCCTTGACTTCATTAAGCCTGTAGAGAGGCCATGGGGGAGCCCCTTTTCCACTTTCCCACTGTAGCTTGTATGGAGCTCTATCATAACACCTAAAAAAAAAACCAAACCAAACCCATTGCCATGGAGTCGATTCCGACTCCTAGCGATCCTAACACCTAGCCCCCACAAAATTGTAATCAAAGGCTCATGGGTTTTTCTCCCCCACTTGCCAGTTATGTCCTTGAAAGGGGAGGGACCATGTCTTACTAATCTAATTATCTCTATTCTGCAGTGTAGTGCTGGTAAACGATGGCTGGTGAATGGAATTAATTAATTAAGTAATGGGTATATGGGGGTACTGGCTGAAGAAGGGGAGAGCTGAGATACCAGCACACAAGAAGATGAGTGAGGGTTCTCTCAGCAGGAGCAGCCCCTGAGAAGGTTATTTCTGATAATAGACTTTTTTTTTTAAGTCTACGTTATCCATGAGCCAGGTACCTGCTTCTGTATCATCTGGGTTGGGCCACTAGTAACTGTAGGGACCCCCTGAGATTTCACGTGTTTCCCCATGGAGTTTCATCTGAAGGCTCTTTTCAGAAACAAATGACCATTGACTTAATTAATCTTGGCTATGAAAGGGTGATTTGGGATTTCAATGGCAAATAACAATTGAAAGACTCTTGTTAATTAGAAATCAGAAGTCTTCAGACCAAGAAATAAAGAATGGTAGGTATCACACAGAAATAGAAAAGAATGTTCAGAAATAAGACCATACGTGATTTATGAACTAGATAGTGGCCATAATTGAGATTTTCCTGGGTGACACCAGAAGGGGAAGAAAAATAGAGTTATAAAAGAACTGGAATTGTCTCTCCCTTACTTGGTCTTACCAGCTACAAATAAATATAAAAATGTTTCCAGTTCCTTCTGTTTTACCAAAGGTGAAGAGGAGAAGAGAAGGAGAAGGACTTTTAGGTGTCTCCCTGCGTGCTTGCAAGCAATAGTCCTACTGGCCTGTCACTCCCAGTTATGCCCATGGGCCGGGCCTGCAGGGATGCCCCACCAGCCCTCTCCATTTCAGAGTGCTTCTCCACTGTCTGCTTCACCAGCCTTCCCCAAAAACCTTTCACAGCTGCCTGTATGGTTCTAAAGTAAAAATAATCATTACCCATGTATCACCTAACATTCTTGCATAAACTACCAGTGGCATGCATATTGTTCCTTGGGGCACGCGGGCCTTGTGCTTAGGAAGTGGCCCTTCGTTCTCAATGGCCTACAGGCCTTAGTCCTTGGAGTTGAACTTCAAAGTATCCAGTTGTTTGACCTTCCAATGAGACTTCCTGGATTCTCATCTAAGAATCCTCTAGAGGGCTCACTCACTTGCTAAGCTTCCAGACTTGCCAGGTAATGACTGAACTGAAGCGGGTGCACAGTTTAGTTGCTTTCTTTGGAACCCCTGCCACATATAATTTAACACAGCTTTTTTAACAGATTGTGCTTATGGTAGTATATTAGTAACACATGAATATTAGAAATCTAATGATCTGTGATTCCAAGAAAGCAAATCTCTTCATATAATCATTTATAATATACTTTTGTAGGTTATATGTGAATCTATAGCTTCTTAAACCAAAAAACAAAACCAAACCCACTACTGTCGAGTCAATTCCAACTCATAGTGATCCCATAGGGTTTCTAAGGCTGTAAATCTCTATGGAAGCAGACTGCCACATCTTTCATACCACCAGCCTTTCAGTTAGCAGCCAATCACTTTAACCACTGTGCCACCAGGGCCCCTTCTTTGGTACAGAAAATGCTTAAATCCATAGAGTGAAACTTGTGTTACCACTTCCCTTTATCCATCGATAATTTACTTGTATGTTCTTATATACTAAAAATCTCACTAATTTTCTTTTTTATGAGCAGTACTAATTAGTAAGCCTAATTCTTTTGCTGATATATCAGGGCATTCTACTAACAAGGGGCTGTGGTAGGATGTTGTATGCTTTTTTTTTTAAATCAAATTTTCTAAGAAATAACCTGTTTAAAAAAATCTTTTTGAAGAATTTAATTATGATTATGTGTTATAGCGTTATTGTAGTCTTGCTATGAGAGAAAAGGCCTCTAGTAGCTCAATTCAAAGATTTCTCTTTTGGGAGAGATAGTTATGTGAGATAATTCTCGTTAGACTGAATATAAAATAAAGATTGGTTAAAAATCAATAAATTCTTGACCAATAATTGGCTGACAGTCAACCAAGTGAGGGAGTATGAGATCTTCAGTTAAATTCCATCAGAAAAATTGCTTAACCATTTTATCAGAAATGCTAATTTCTTCATCTTAGAATGTAAGAAAGTGTTCCAGACCAAGTTTGAGTTAATTGAATTAAGCCATGCCAAAGTCATACGAAACTCTATTTTCTCTACTGAGGAGAAAGGAATTTCAACTGACATTTTCCAGAATGCTTACAATCTAGGTAAAATAAAAATGATGGTGGGTAGGGGGAGAAACTGGTCTCTCTCCCTCCCTCACATACATTCCAAATGCTCCATAAATTTATTGTCTTGAAGCTACTGGTTAACATAGCTCACTTAAATGAGAAGTATGGAGAGAGCTACGTTGATATGGTCAATTCTTACTCTCTTTCCAATTGCATTATTCAACATTGCTTTAATCAATGTAATAGAGAAATCGACATTTTTTCTACCTGAAAATTTTTTTTATAGCCATTATGTGCAAGGTTTATAGCCACATAATTTTTAATTGTCTGAGGAGGGAGAGATATAAAGATGAATAAGACATGGTCCCTGGCATAAGAAAGCTTATGATCTAGTGGAAGACATACCGTATTTTTACACAAATAATGAGTGCCTTCTATGTTTGCCAGTCGTGCTCTCCATCCCCGCCCCCCAGTATTTTCCTAAGTGCTGCTATGCCATTTTTTTTTTTTACACACTGCTTTAAAATGAGAAAAAAAAAAAAAGCATAACAAGCTTACAAAAATACATAGGGGGAAAGGAGCGGTTGGTAAACAAATGTACAAGGCACTCGTTATTTGCGTAAACTACAGTAATATCCTATTTGGAAACCTGTAGTTTAGCTTTTTGACGGTTATTCCACCTTCTTTTGTGTAGGTCTTAACTGAGCACAGAAGTACTAATATTAATTTGGGAGGAGAAAATGGAAACACGGCTGTGATAATTGCCTGCTCCAAAGATAATAGTGAAGCACTACAAATTTTGGTTTGTATATTAATTGCTTTTTTCTTATTTCTTTGTCTTTTTGTTAGTACAGCATGGATTAGTGTTGATATTTACAAAAGGTCTTCCAGTGTCTCTCCTTTGCAAAATATAAAATACAGAAAATATGTCAGAAAAAAATTGTTGTATGCGTTTTTAGGGTGTGTGTATATATATATATATATATATATATATACACGTACCCCTTAGTTCCTAAAAGGATCTGAGATTGCTTACAGAAGACTAACACAAAAAGAATTAAAGAAAATGGTGAGAAAATCAAAATGAATCATAATAGTAATTCCAAATCTTGGAAACTACTGTTGTAGGGAAAAAAACATCACAAAGTTTAGTAAAGCAAAAAGCAAGTTTTATTTGGCACATATTCAAAAAGGCAAAAGTGGGAAGCAGACAAGCATGCTGCCACAGCCATGTCTGCCCGAGTCCAAGGAACGTTACAGAGTCATGGGTACATATTAACATTACAAAATAGGCAAAACCATTGAAAGCTTCACCTTTTCACAGGCTGGCTAGAAACTGTGATCCTACATTTTGAATTGTCTCCCTTAACAATCATTGGTACAGGTTTCAGTAATGACAGTCAGGAGGGTCTTCATTGGTCCAACAAACTTTCTATTCACTAAATGCTAATAGAAAAAGACAAGAGTAGAAACTCTTCTGTGTTCTGGTTGATTGGCTTATGTGAAAGGTTCCCTAAAAGATATTTTCCAAGATTATCCTAGCTATTGTCTTTATATCTAAGGGCCCAGTTGATGTGTCCTTGTGAGCCCCTGTGAGCCCAACTCCAGCTAGGTCACATACTCTATGCTCAAGGACAGGGAATAATGATTCCAATATTATTTTCTAAATCACTACCCAAACAAGAAAAGTGTAGACTAATTTTACATATAAATAAACATAGATGCAAAATCTTAAATAAAATACTAGCAAATTAATTCATCAAAATAATTAAAAGAGTAATATGCCCTACTATGCTGGCCTTGTCCAAGGAATGTACAGATAGTTCAATATTAGAAAATGCACTGATTGTTGTACATCAATTGGCCTGAGGAGATAAGGCATGTGATTATATCCACCTACCTATTTATCTAGCATGTCTTCTACAAAACTATAAGAAAATGACAATGTTCCAATAGAAAAAGTGGCAAAGGATACACAAATTTTAAGTAATTTTTCTAATAATCAAAGAGAAACAAAACAATGAGATACCACATTTTTCACCTCTTAATTTTAAAGGATGAAAAAAACTTGCTGATAACCAGTGTTGGGGAAATTTTGATGAGTCAGGAAATTTCATTCACTGCTGATGAGAATACCTTTTGACTAATCAATTACCATTCTTGGAATATATCCCAAGGTGATAATTAAAGCTATAACAAAGTCCTATGATTAAGGATATTAACCTCAGTGATTTAAATATCAGAGTGAGAAAATTGGGGAAAAAAGTTTGAAGTCTACTAATAGGGATTGATCACATAGTTTTGGGTATGCAAAAAGGTACTTGATAAAATCATGTAATTGATAAACTATTAAAAGTGTATACTTGAATATTAAAATCATATTCTTTATTATAAAGAATATTGTTAAGTAAGTTTTTATGAACAGTGTAATAAAAATTACATTAAAAAAAAACTATTGCTGTCAAGTCGATTCCGACTCATAGCGACGCTATAGGACAGAGTAGAACTGCCCCATAGGGTTTCCATGGGGCGGCTGGTGGATTCAAACTGCCCAAAAATTACATACGCAAAGAAATAAGACTTGAAAAGAAACATTCATCCGAGAAGAGCAGAAGGACAGATTTAACAGGCTACAAGAATCCATAGAGAGACAGCGATCAGAAATCCAGAAGATTAACAATAAAACTTCAGAATTAGACAACTCAATAGAAAGTCGTAAGGGCAGAATTGAGGCAATGGAAGTCAGAATTAGTGAGATTGAAGATAAAGCACTTGACACCAACTTATTTGAGGAAAAATCAGATAAAATAATTTAAAAAATGAAGAAATCCTAAGATTTATGTGGGACTCTATCAAGAGGAATAACCTACGAGTGACTGGAGTACCAGAACGGGGTGGGGGGGTGGATAACAGAAAATAACAGAGAGAATTGTTGAAGATTTGCTGGCAGAAAACTTCCCTGATATCGTGAAAAATGAGAAGATATCTATCCAAGATGCTCATCGAACCCCACATAAGGTAGACCCCAAAAGAAAGTCACCAAGATATATTATTATCAAACTTGCCAAAACCAAAGATAAAGAGAGAATTTTAAGGTGGCTAGGGATAAACGAAAAGTCATCTGCAAAGGAGAGTCAATAAGAATAAGCTCGGAGTACTCAGCAGAAACCATGCAGGCAAGAAGGCAATGGGATGACGTATATAAAGCCTTGAAGGAAAAAAAACTGCCAGCCAAGAATTATATATCCAACAAAACTGTCTCCCAAACATGATGGCAAAATTAGGGCATTTCCAGATAAACAGAAGTTTAGAGAATTTGCAAAAACCAAACCCAAATTACAAGAAATTCTAAAGGGAGTCCTCTGGTTAGAAAATCAATAACATCAGATAACAACCCAAGACTAGAACACAGGACAGAGCAACCAGATAAGGAAGTCACAAAAATAAATCAAAGCTAAAACACTAAAAATAGGGAAAAAGAGATGTCAATATTTAAAAGATGACAACATTAACACAAAAAAGAGGGACTAAAAAGGGTGCACATAGATTTTTCATATGGAGTCAGGGCAATATAAAGAAATAAAAGACTGGTTTACACTTAGAAAAATAGGAGTAAATATTAAGGTAACCACAAAGGAAACTTAACAATCCTACACATCAAAATAAAAAACAAGAAAAATACAAAGACTCAGCAAATACAAAATCAACACCAAAGAAAAAGACAAAAAGAAAATACATTAAAAAAAAAAGACTCGGCACAGAAAGTTAGTGAAACAAAGAAACTGTCAACAACACACAAAAAAAGACTTCAAAATGACAGCACTAAACACATACCTATCAATAATTATGCTGAATGTAAAAGGACTAAATGCACCAATAGAGAGTGACAGATTGGATTAAAAAACACAATCTGTCTATATGCTGCCTACAAGAGACACACCTTAGACTTAAAGATACAAACAAACTAAAACTCAAAGGATGGAAAAAAATATACGGAGCAAACAACATTCAAAAAAGAGCAGGAGTGGCAATATTAATCTCTGACAAAAATAGACTTTAAAGTAAAATCCACCACAAAGAATAAGGAAGGAC